GCACGCCTCGCGCCTCACCCACATCCTCTCCTGCTTCGCCCACGCCCTCAACGGAGAGCCCATGGGCGGGGGCTCGTCTCGAAACTCGTTTGCCATGCAGGCCCCACCCGCTGCGGAGGTGCCTGCTGCATCGGCTGCTGCAGCATCTCCCGAGATGATTCACCAGCACCACCACCAGCAGGAGCGCAGCAGCAGCAGCAGCAGTCACACTCCCCTGGCCATATCGCCAATCACACATCTCTGCTCACATCCATATCCCCAGTTGGCCTTCCTCAGACTGCTGCTGCTGCCGTGGCTGCAACCTCAGGCTCCAAGGGGCCTGAAGAGTTTGCTACAGTCCCTGTAGCAGCGGTAGCAGGCGTGGAGGGAGAAGGAGTGGGAGATGTGGGAGTAGCAGGAGTACCAGAAGGAGCAGGGGGAGTGGGAGGAACAGGAGGAGTGGATGAAGCTGTAGGTTTGGGAAGAACAGGAGGAGCAGAGTCAGGAGCAGGAGGAGCAACAGGAGCAGGAAGCCTCGCAGAGGCATGTGGTGGTGGTGGTAGTGCTACTGCTAGTATTGCGGCTGCTGGTGTGGGTTCACGCGCTTTCTGGGGTGGGTTTGGCAGCTTCAGCGATGGCGCTATGGGTGCTGCTGCTGCAGGAAGTGCCCTTCCGGCTGATGAAGAGCATGAGTTTCAATCCTATGACCTTACTGCACCAGAAAACGCCTTCCCCACGCTTCTGCCCGTCCCTGAAATGCCTGGCCCAGAAATGCATGCCCTAGCAGTGCCTGCACCAGCAGTGCCCGCCCTAGCAGTGCCTGTGGCAGAGTCTTTGTCCCTTTCTACACCCACAGCGTCCGCTGCTGTGGACGTCCCTCCGTCGCTCAACTCTGTGTGGGAGAGCATCACACGCAGCACCAGGCTCCAATCTGTTGCTGCTGCCGCCGCTGGTGCTGCAGCTGTTGCCACTGCTGCCACTACTGCTGCTACTACTGTTGATGCTGGTGGCACAGTGGGAAAATCAGTAGCAGCGGGGGCAGAAGCAAGAGCAGCAGGTGTGGGGGGTGAGGAGATAATGGAGGAGGAAGAGGATGGGGAAGAGGAGGAGGGTGTGGAGAGGGAGGAGCGGGTGAGGGAGGGGGAGGGAGGCGGCGCCTCTCTTTCAACGCTTGGCGTGTGCCTGCCTCGGTCAGTTTCGAGTCGACTCAGAGGCTGCCTGCGTCGGCCGTGCCCCCTGCTGGTAGTGCTGAGACACAGCCGCTGACAACTGCGCTTACAGCTCAGCACCCCTCTGCATCTTCTCCCACCGTTCACCACCTCTCTGCATCTCCGCACTTACATGTGCACTTCTTGCAGCACCGTTCCCTCTCAGACCAGTATGCTCGCCCCAAATACCACCAGTCTTGCCAACCCCCACCAGCCCCGCTCAAGCCTATCCGACGGTCTAGAACGGCTTAGAATGATCAACGTGAATCTCAGCCATCCCTCCTCCTCCCTGGCCCACCGCCCTTCAGCTGCTGCTGCTGCTTCAGCGTCGCTCACTTCTCCCTCTGCGCTTCCGCATTTTACCACTCTAGTCAGCCCGGCCAGGGAGGCAGCCTCGGGCGAGGCTCGGCACAGATCCGGAAGCTGAGCAGCAGCAGCTTCGGCGGTAGGGCGCGCTTTGCTGCGGGTGCTCCTGGTGCTTCTGCGGCAGGTGCGGGGAACCTGAATGGAATAGGGCTGGGCTGGCCGGGTCTAGCCAGCCGGCCTCAGTTTGCTTCTCTCTCCGGTGCGTCCCGGCTGGGTCTTATCCGGTCCATGTCAGCCGTACAGAGCTATGCAGCGGCCTCCTCCCTCTCTGTTCTCTGCCAACCCACCATGCTCTCTGGAATAGGCTATGACCACCAGCCTAGTGTGCTGGCCGGTATGGGTGGTATGGGGTATGATCAGTCCAGTGTGCTGTCTGGATTCGGGCCTAGTAGCTTGAGCCACGAAACCATCTTGGAAGCTCCGCACATGTCGACGCAAATGTCGCCGCGTGGTTCACCTGGGATGTCACCTGGCATGTCACCTGGGGTGTCACCTGGCGTTTCACCTGGCGTGCTGTCTGGAATGCTGTTTGCGATCGGGTCTGAGCCGATACCAGAAGCGTATAAGGTGTCACCTGGGCGTGGGAATGTTCCTAGAAAGCTCCCTGGCGGAGGTAGTGGTAGGTACGACCTTCGGGGGAGCGGGAGGAGCAGCAGTGGCAGCCCAAGTCTTGCTGGTGGTAGCAGAAAGTACGACCTGCAGGGAGGAGGGGGGAGCAGGAGTGGGAGTCTCCCTGGTGGTGGTAGTAAGTATGACTTGCGTGGAGGAGGGGGGAGTAGCAGTGGGAGGAGAAGGACCATGGGACTGCATGTGCGGAGGGGAAGCGCTGGTAGTGCCAGTGGATTAGGAATGCATGAGAGCAGCATGGGCATGGGCATGGGCATGGGCATGGGCATGGGCATGGGCATGGGGATGGGGCTGGGTGGTTCCACTGGTAATCTGCATGCTCCTTCGCCTTACTCTACTAGTGCCCACGCCATGTCACCTGCCCATGCCTCGTCACCTGCCCATGCCACGTCACCTGCTCATGCCACGTCACCTGCCCTAGCCATATCACCAACCCAAGCCCCGTCGCCTCACTCCCAGCCAGTGGCTTACCACAGGAGAGGGGCAGAGAACACAGAGTCAACATTCTCACAGCCACCAGCATTCCTCAAAGGCAGCACCGTACTCTACTCCACCAGCAACCATCCCACCCACTCCAACCACTCCTCCTTCTCCTCCCAGCAAGCAGCAGCAAGCTCTCTCAGGCCGGGACTAGCAGCGGAAAGCTCAGCAGCAGCAGCAGCAGCTCCACCCGCTTTTGTGTCCTCGCCTCACTCGCACGCAGCAGGCTACCTGCGAGGCTTTCACAGAATGGCCCGTACCAATTCCAGCTCCAAATCCGCTCTTCTAGACGCATCCAAAGGCATGTCTCACACCAGCTCTGTTTCTCTTGACGCTCCCAGCAAAGGCACGGCCCGCACCAGCTCCAACGCCCCTGATGCACCCGAAAGCATGGCTCGCACCACCTCTGCTTCTCTCGATGCGTCCAACAAAGGGATGCCCAATGTTGGCCTGATTGCCAGGAGCATGCCTCGCACAAGCTCAGCCCCTCTAGACGCCCCTCGTGTGGTTCCCATGCCCAGAAGGTCGCTCCAGCACCATTCAGCCAGGTACTCTGTGGCTGGGGCGAATGGAACGAGTGGAATGGTTGCTCTTGACGCGCCTCAGAAACACCATTCTGCCAGGTACGCTGCTAGTGAGGTGACTGGTGGGGCGTCTGCCCTTGACGAGCCTCAGAAATACCCTTCTGCCAGGTACACTGCTAGTGAGGCATCTGTGCTTGAGGCGCCTCACAAACACCACTCTGCTAGATACTGTGGTAGTGGGGCGAGTGGGGTGGATGGGACAAGTGGGGCGTCTGTTTTTCTTGAGGCGCCTCACAACCACCACTCTGCCAGGTACACCACTCTGCCACTCTGTTTTTCTGGCCTTGAGGCAGAACCAGTTGTACGAACGAGTATGCAGCCAGGCATGCAGTCAAGAGAAGTGAAGGAAGGAGGTGGAGAAGCAGAGGGCGCATTAGCAGCTGGGGGAGTGGTGGAAGCAGAGGGGACAGGAGGAGCTGCTTGTGCTGCTCACATTGCTGCTGGCACTGCCGCTGGCATTGCTGCTAGCGTGGAAGCAGGCCGGTCAAGAGTGCCCGCTGCGTCAGAGACAACCCAGCAGGATGGGCACGGCACGGAACAAGGGAAAATTCCTAGGACAGGATCAGCGTTGGAGTTTGGGCTTCTGAGGGGGCTGTCTGTACAAGTGCCTGAAGGTTCTGGGGGACCAGAGTTGAATGGTGGTTCTGAAGGGAGAGGGTATGTGGGGAGAGAGTTGCTTGATTTCTCTCAAGGGAGAGACTCGCCCAGTGGCTCTGAGGAAGGAAACTTGCTCGGAGGGTCTGAGAGGAGAGACTTTGTAGCGGTTCTTAGTGAACCTAGATTGAGTTCAGATGAGTGGAGGGAGGTTGATGCTGACCTGACGAAGCACCTGGAGCTGCCAGCTGGCCATAGAGTGCAGCAGACGCAGCAGCAAAAGGAGGGGGAGCAGAAGAAGAGGGAGCTACAAGCGCAGCAACAGCAGCAGCAAGAGCAGCAGCAAGAGCAGCAGCAGGTGCCACAATCACCAACCACCCATCAGCTCCCTTGGCAGCACTCTTCATCTCTCCTGCGCACCACATCCGCTACACCCAACACCCTGCAGCACCACTCGTCACACCTCTCCATCGAATCAACTTCCCACGCCCAGAATCAACCTGAGCCGTTCCCCTCTCTCTCCTACACCGTCCCCCAACGCCCTTCCACGAGCCCTTGCTGCAGTGACAACCCAAGGGGGTTTTCTAGGCGAGGAATGGGAGGAGCGGGGTGGAGAGGATTGGTGCAAGAACGGACAGTGGGGAGAAGGGTGAGTGGGGAGGTGACACAGAAGCTTTTGAGTCGACTCAAAAGGGTGAGTGGGGAGGTGACACAGAAGCTCAACCGGATACAGCAACTGCCACAGTTGGAGCAGCAACAGGGGGAGCAGCAGGAGGAGGAGGAGCAGCAGGTACAGCAGCAGCAGCAGTAGGTGCAGCAGCAGCGCGAATGTCAGCTTTTAGCGGCCATGGTAGCCAGCCAAACACCCCTAGTCCGCTAGCAGGAGCGCTGTTGCCGTTTGGCTCTATTGCAGAGGTGTTGAGCTCGGTGTGGAGTGGTAGTGAGAGGAGGAGTGTCGCGGGAGGGGCAGAGGGAGTGGGAGGGAGAGGAGGGGAGGGCGGAGGAGAGAGAGAAAGGGAGGGTGGGGGAGAGGGATGCGGGGAGAGAGGGGGAGAAAGAGGGGGGACGGAAGGGAGAGGGACGTGGGGAGGGTCAGCCTCGCCCGACTAGAACACAGTCCAAGGCTCGCAGCCCAACAAACTCTCTCAATCACTCCCTCTCTCACTCCCTCTCTCACTCCCTCTCTCACTCCCTCACTCACTCCCTCACTCACTCCCTCACGAACCGCCTCTCTGGCCTATCAGGCCTCTTCCGCAGCAACTCCTCATCAGACTACGAGGCAACGGTAGCAGCAGCAACAGCAACAGCAACAGCAACAGCAGCACCAACAGGAACGGCCAGAATTTCCAAATTCGGTGACAGCAGCAGCAGCAATGGCAGGCGAGCCATCACCCCTGGAAGGAGTTCAAGAGAGGAAAGCAGGCAGTCGACTCACAAGTCGCCGCAGCATTCACGAGAGGGAAGCGTGGGATCGAATCACCAGTCCCCGGCGGTCACACCAGGAAGGAGGTCGCGGAAGGGAGTCGGCAGAAGCAGCGGCGGGCTCAAAGATTGTCTGGTCCATTCGCTTCCACAGCTGCCTCTGCTTCTGCTTCTGCTTCGGGATCTGCTTCGGGACTCACTCCTCCCACGCCTGCCCCGTCCTCCTCCTCCCTCCCTGGCAGCGTGGGCCCGTCCACCCCCACCACCCCTCCCACAGCAGCTCGGCCAAGCTTTGATGCTGACGCCCCTGCCTGGCGAGCGCGGCCCAGCTTTGAAGTGCCGCAGAGCAAGGCGAGGCGAGGCATGGCAGGGGCCCACACCCCTGGGAGAGACACCACTGGTAGACCCACAGCAGCAGGAGCAGCAGCAGGAGGAGCCGCAGCAGCAGCAGGGGGAGCAGCAGGAGGAGCAGAGGAGGAGGAGCGGCAGGGGGAGGGGCGATGCCGACAGGCCAGCCGCTGGCAGGGCTGCATATCCTGGTGGTGGAGGACACAGCAGTGCTGCAGAAGCTGGCAGCGTCCATGCTTAGGAAAATGGGAGCCCATGTGGCTGTGGCTTCGGATGGGCAGCAGGCTGTTGCTGCTGTGCTGAGCTCGTGGGGGGATGACGATGAGACTTCTGGTGCTGCTGCTGCTGCTGTTGCGGCTTGTGGTGGTTCTGGTGGTGCTGGTGGTGTGGGTGATGCTGGTGGTGGCGGTGGTAGTGGTGCTGGTAATGCTAGCATTAGTGGCAGTGGCAGCAGGAGGAGGAAGAGTTTCAGCATGTCGAGAGAAGCGATTCTGGCCGGCTCATCCGCAGCAACAGCAGCAGAATCAACTGTAGCAGCAGCAGCAGCAGCAGCAGCAACTTGAGTAAGCAGCAGCAGCTCAGCACAACACAGCCAGCTGCACCACACAGCACCGGGGACAACCCATACAGGCAGTGCGGGAAACGCAGGCAAAGCAAGCAGCCCCGCACCCCTACCAGCACTGTCCAGTCTCTCTTTTCCTCTGCTGCCACTGCCCTTCACTCTGCCACTGCCTCTCCCTCTGTCGCTGTTGTTCATTCTGCCTCACTCTCGCCCACCGCAGGTCCTTTTCGCTGGAAGCCTCGCCGGGGCAGCAGTGGCTCTGTCTCCTTCCTCCTCTCTCTGCCCTCCCCTCCGCCTCCCCCCTCTCTTCCAGCCCTCTGGCCTCATCTCTCTCGTCAAGCCCTCCCGTGGGAACAGCATTGAGAGGGGGAGGAGGGGAGCAGCTGCAGCGGCAGCAGCTGAAGAAGCTGAAGCAGGAGGCGGGGGAGGAGGTGGTTTTGGGGAAGGGTGGGAGGCAGCAGGTGTGCAGCAGGGTCGGAGCTCTGAGGCCATTGAGTCACAGCTCGCAGAGAGGGGAGAGGAGAGACCCAGGTCGTCCTTTTCCAACCCGTTTGACCCAGCAGGGACAGCTGTAGCAGCATCGGCTGTTGCAGCGTCAGTTGTAGCAGCGTCATCTGCAGCAGCGAATTGTGGCAGTGATGTGGTGGCTACAGCTGGGGTGGATGGGTGCAAGGGCAGTGGGATGGGTGGAGTAGGGGATGCAGCAGCAGCAGCAGCAGCGGATCCCTTCGACATTGTGCTCATGGACTGCCAGGTACTTGGCGTTTTCCTAGTGCTCGTCATCGCACCTCATCACACCGATTCAGCACACGCATCAAGATGCCTCTCCCTTTGCCTGTCCGCCCATGCAGATGCCAGTGATGGATGGGTATACGGCCACGAGGACCATTCGTGCCGCAGAGAGGGGCACGGGGCGCCACACTGTCATCTGTGCACTCACTGCTCATGCACTCGCCAGGTGAGGGAATGGCAGTTGCTCTGCAAAATCCTCTGCACCACTTCGCACTGCTTTGCATTGCACACTGTCATCTGTACGCTCACTGCTCATGCACTCGCCGGGTGGGGGAGGGAGTTCCATGTATCATCTCGTTTTGCCTCTCCCTCTCTTGCCAACCTCTCTTTGCCAACCTTTCTTTTGCCCCTTGTCTGGCACGCAGTGACGAGGCCAAGTGCAGGCAGGCAGGAATGGATGGGTACCTCACAAAGCCAATCAACATACGGTGCGTACAAAGGGGAAGGTCATGCATAGCATCCATGTTAACAGCTTCATGCATTTTCCATCTGTGGCTGTGCTCCTAACTTGCACAGCTTGCTCGTTGTTCAAGCGCCTAAAAAGTCATCTCCCTGTGACCCTGGCTCTCGGTGCTTGTCTCTGCTTCCGTCTTGCACAGCTTGCTGGTGGACACTGTTCAGCGGCTGGTCAGCAACAACAGGAGGGCAGCAAGGCGAAGCTTGAGCAACCTTGGCGCGACTGCCACTGCCAGCGGCACTGCCGTGGCCAATCAAGGCAGCTTCAGCAGCGCTTCCAGTAACAGCCCATACACCAGCCCTTTAGGGTCAACTGCTAGTACCACTCGCCCTAGTCCAGGCATACGGACATCATTTTCTTACACGTTGGGGCGAGTAAGGGACATTGAGTACCTACTGGTTGGAGTAGCCCAGCTTTGTGTAGGTTAGCAGGGTAGTTTTGTTTTACAGGCTTCATTTGTGTAGTCCATGAGTTGTAAGGGAAAGTTCAGCGCTTTCAGGGTGTGGGGTTTTGCTGGACAAAGAACTGTTGGAGCTGGTAAAACGATATGTTTCCACGTCATAAGACAATGCTACAGTATAATGAGCTACGTATAACAATTGTGAACGACTTTCCCGCTTCATTCACCAGGGATTGAGACCCCCTGCTTGAGGCGTTCCCGCTTCAGCTTCCTCTGTGAGACGGGTTTCTTCTTCTTGGGTGGCAGAACGCTCTGTGCGTAGAAGTACATGGCAGCGTGGCCGACGAGGAAGAGAACGAAGAAGCCCACCACGACCAGGATGACTAGCAGCGTGGGGTTGAAGCCTGAATCAGGTGGCGTTTGACCCTGTAGGAAAAAGGAAAATAAGAGATGCACTTTTAAAAAGAAATCGAAATAAAACAAGCCACTACCACCAGGACGACCAGGAGCGTGGGGTTGAGCCTGAAGGACCGTCTGTCCCTGGGGAAACGGAGATAAAAGGCGAAATTTGAGAAAGGATTTCAGGTCGATGGTAGAATGCGGAGAATCAGGATCAGGGAGGTGGAGATGGCACCTGACCAAGGAAATAAGGCAACCAGCTCATTTCGAGGCTGTTGCATGAGAAAATTTTAAGATGTACGGCGAGATCCATTAGCAAAAAGTCAATGACTGGGTTCAATATCCCAAGAGAGTCCACGTTTCACCAGTGTTTACATAAGATCACGTCCACCGCACTTGTTTATTGCCGAATTCTGAAGACAAACACGGAAAGAACGGCTGACATTACCTCTCCTGGGCCCGCCATGACGAGGTGTGCTCAAAATAAATCCTCCTCAGCAGAGATGACAGGGAAGAACTGGCAGGCGAGTCACTGTTTTCGAAAACTGTAGTGAAAGGATGAGTAGGATCTGCTCTGCAAAATTATGCTTGCGAACTAAAATTTAGGTTTGACAGAATGTGTCCGTCCTAGTGCCTAGATTACTGCTGGAAGATTCTGATGGAGTGGTTGAGAAAGTTGGATTCTGGAAGTCTGGAGCTAGTTTATGGGGTGTGATTATAAACGAAGTTGTTGTCAGATCGGAGGGACAGTAGCCGTTGCGTTGGTCCTCTTGCGACCGTGAGGTTTTCGTGTTTCTGGTCAAACTTGGCGCCAAAATAATTGGCGAGCTCATTGATTGGCTCGCCAGTTCATATTCTCAGTAACGCTGTAATGTGTACAAAGCACTGACACATTCCCCAAGAACATTTACTATGAAAAGAATTTATCGCTGAACGCGGATTTCCACTCCAGAATTTGGCAATCCAGTGCCCGCCAAGCAAACCTATAACTTCCAGAATTTTCCCTTACCTTGCTTTAGCAGTTCAACATCCTTCCTAGACCTATCCAAGCGCTCTAAAGTGGAAAAGAACCGCTTTGTTCAGTGAATTTGAGTGGCATGGCTGAATGAATTGCGGTCATTGAAGACGAGTCTCTGCAGTCACCATCAGAAAATGCATCAGCCACAATGTCATGGCGACCGTGCTCAGCTCACGTTCGGTCCCTTCCGAAAAAGCACAGTTCTCGCCATTGGCTTAACAGTCAACGAGCTGACGGCGCGAAGTTCGTCTATACTGGACAGTCTTTCTTACTTGCCGGCGCCGGCAGACAGCCTCCACGTGTAGACGGCGATGGGGTAACCAGATCCTCCTGGCGCGTAGTAGTTTTCGCGAACTCGCTTGAGCGACGTAAGCGACAGAAAGGCGACACTTCGAGTGGTAGTAACCAGCTCGGCGAAGACATCAAGGCGAGAAGCGAATCTGGAAGGACCAGACGAGCTTCGCGAAAGTATGTAATCGTTCATTCCGTATGTCCATGCAGGTGATGGCAAGACAAGTTGCAACGTTTCCTGTTGAAAGGTTTTACTCCAACAATTATGTCTCGTTCCGAATCACACTCTGTTGGTATACCTGTGACGCACTCAACATTCATCGCTCGGCATTCGTTCCTTGACATTCATCCCTTCACAATCAACCCGTGACAATTGCGCTTATCCCTTTGCACTCTTCCCCTCTTCTTTTTCGCTGTTCTGCGCACAGGAATCTCCTTCGGAAGTCTTGGAAAGGAGCGCACGAGCAGGAGGAAGAAACGAGGAATTTAAACAGCTGACCGCTTCGGAAGAGAAGCTAGAGGGAGAGGAGGAGGAAGAAGTGAGGGACGAGAAGGACGAAGAAGGCAGGGAGGGCAAGGAGGGCGAGCGGGACGAGAAGCAGCCTGCTGCCGACCGATACGCAGTCAGCCGGTCCATGCCTCGGAAGCAGCATGATTGGATCTTTTCTGTTGGATCTCCTAACGGTACTCCCTTTTCACATTTGCTCATTCCCCCCACTTCAGTTGCTCATTGAACCCTGGTTCACGCTTCTGTTCGTTCTCTTTGTCAATTCTTACCATCCTGTCTTCAACGCTCCCTCCGTGCCTCTCCATTCCACCCCTCCCTCCCATCCTCAGTCTCCTCCCCCAGCAGCAGCAGCAGTGGCCTCAATCGCCCACCTCCCGCACAGCTGACCCTTGCTGTGGCCGCTTCTGCTGCTGCTGCTTGCGCCGCTGCTCTCATGCTGCTGCACTCTCGGTTCGCCCAGACAGCACTTGAGCGTGCAGGGAAGCGTGCCGTGGGGCGTGCAGAAGGGCGTGATGAGGAGGAACGTGCAGAGGAGAAAGGCGAGCGTACAGGGAAGCGTGCAGGGAAGCGTGCAGACACACAAGAAGGCAGATTACGGGGGAGTGAGGAGATGTTTGAGGCGCCTCAAAAATCACTTGAGCGTGCAGGGAAGCGTGCTGAGGGCGTGCAGAAGGGCGTGATGAGGAGCGTGCAGAGGAGAAAGGCGAGCGTACAGGGAAGCGTGCAGGGAAGCGTGCAGACACACAAGAAGGCAGATTACGGGGGAGTGAGGAGATGTTTGAGGCGCCTCAAAAATCACTTGAGCGTGCAGGGAAGCGTGCCGAGGGGCGTGCAGAAGGGCGTGATGAGGAGCGTGCAGAGGAGAAAGGCGAGCGTACAGGGAAGCGTGCAGAGGAGGCAGGCGATCGTACAGGGAAGCGTGCAGAGGAGGCAGGCGAGCGTGCAGGGAAGCGTGCAGACACACAACAAGGCAGATTACGGGGGAGAGAGGGGATGGCGGGAGATGCGGCAAGAGGTTTTGCAGGGGGGTTGCTCGGGGTGGTGCAAGGGATGTTGCTGCAGGGAATGGGGGGATAGCAGAGGGCACGGTAGATTACATTCGTTCCTTGACGTTCAAGGAACCTGATGGAGGGAGGGTGGAAGCGAGATCAGGGAAGACGAAGGAAGGCCCGGAAACTCTTACAGCTGGTGTGGAGAGAGTAGGGGAGCCAGTTGGGGGGAGTGGTGGGGAGACCGCTGGGAGCGAGAATGAACTGGAGGGTTTAACTGGAAGGGGGAGCGATGAGCTAGGCACAGAAGGTAGTGCTGAGGAGATGGAGGGGATTCAAACCGACGGGAGCGAAAGGAGTGAGAGAGAGTGGCTTGGCCCAGCTGTGGCTGGAGGGGCAGAGAGCAGGGAGCAGGTGGGGGGACGACAGGGGGAAGGGGAAAGGAGCGGATGGGCGGAGGGACGAGGCGAGAGTGGGGTTTGGAGAGAAGAGGGTAAAGATGCAGTGGATGGGCGTGAGGATATGAGGCGGAGAGGTAGTGGTGATGGGGATGAGGAAGGGGATGAGGGGAAGGGTGAGGGGAGAGATAAGGGAGACCTGCCAGGGGACTTGGAAGAAGATGAACTGCTCAAGTTACTGCAAGGTAACGGAAGGGACATGCATGTGTCACATTTGAGAATTCTCTAAGGATGGGGGAGGGATACGAGAGACCTGCCAGGGGACTCGGATGAAGGTAAACTCCTCAAGTTGCTGCAAGGTAACCGAGAATACATGAAGATAGGTGGCTACCGCTCCAGATCCATGTGATTCCGAATTCTGACGAGGCAAAGTAATGTATTCAGATTTTTGCAGTCTCCATGATACCTGCTGCCAACTTGCGACCTAGATGCTTCCAGATTCCACGTTGTTCACTCCATGTTTTTCAGGGTTGCACGCCGCAATAGACGTTCTCGGAGGCAGATTTCTCTTCGTCATTCCCTCGATCCATGTCTTTCCCGTTTCGTTTGTGTGGATGATGAGGTGGGTGACAGTGACAGGGCGATTTCCAGCATGTCCTTCGCGTCCCTATCATCCACCAACGACTTCGTTTCCTGTTTCTTTGAATTATTCATAAGTTCCTGTTTCTGCCGCCCTTTTGTCTCCCTTGCCTCGACAGCTCAAGCCATTAGCGATTGGAGCAACCAGATCGTGCTGCAGGTAACGAAAATGTTGAACTTCTTTGGTAAATGAGGGTTTGTTGGTATAACGGTGTACGCATACAACAGTTCAGAGCGTTAACGTTTTATAGGTATCCATGCACTCGCCTCCTCTATTAGTTTCCCATGTTTCATGTACTCATGTGCTTTAGTACTTTCCCAAGTTTCATGTACTCATGTGCTTTAGTACTTTCCCAAGTTTCATGTACTCATGTGCTTTAGTACTTTCCCAAGTTTCATGTACTCACGTGCTCTAGTACTTTCCCAAGTTTCACGTTTCACTCCTCCCTTTTCCCCTTCCCTTACACCAGGGCTTTAACTGGGAGTCACACGGTCAACCCCAGGGCTGGTGGCGGCACCTAGCCTCCCTCGGGCCTGCCATTGCTGCTGCTGGCTTCACGGCTGTCTGGCTACCCCCCGCCTCTTCGTCCCTTGCCCCACAAGGTAAACCCCCCGCCGCTTCCTCTCTCGCCCCTCAAGGTAAGCCCCCTGCCTCTTTGAATTGCGGCCACCACCAGAGCTGGTGGCGGCACCTGGCCTCCCTCGCGCCCGCCATTGCTGCTGCTGGCTTTACGGCTGTCTGGCTGGCCCCCGCCACTTCCTCTCTCGCCCCTCAAGGTAAGCACACGACTGATTCTTCTGAGAGCTGGAGTCAAACCCTGCTCACTCCACACCATTCTCAATTGTTCCCCACTCTTTTGTCCTCCTATACTTCTCATTTTCTCACTCTCTCTCCCCCAGGCTACCTGCCCAAGGACCTCTACCACCTATCATCAGCATACGCCTCCGAGGCAGATCTCCGCACCCTCTTTGCTGCTCTCAGGGCCGCCCAGCCCAGCACTGCGGTACCCTCAACCCCTCTCTCTGCCTCACCTCCCCTCTCTCCCCACTCCCAGGCTACCCGCCCAAGGACCTCTACCACCTGGCATCAGCATACGGCTCCGAGTCATTCTTCATTATCCCTCTTGCCCTCCCCCACTCGCTCTCTTCCCTCCCCTTTCTCCCCCCAACAGGCTACCTGCCTAAGGACCTCTACCACCTATCATCAGCATACGGCTCAGAGGCAGATCTCCGTGCTCTCATTGCTGCGTTCAGGGCCGCCCAGCCCCACTCTGGAGTACCCTCAACGTCTGCTGCTAATGGTGCTGCTGCTACTCCTGCTGCTGGGGATGATTCTGCTACTGTTGCTGCTGCTTCGTCCCCTTCAGCCCCTGCTGCGGGTGGTGCAGCGGTGACTGACATGAATCCGGACAGTGGGTTGGATCAAGCAGCTGATTGTGCACCTGGTACCACTACTGATAGCTCTGCCATGGGATGTGCTGCCGCTGATGGTGCTGCCACTGGTGGTGCTGGGAGCGCAGGGGGCGTGAGGGTGATAGCAGACGTTGTGGTAAACCACCGGGTGGGAAGCCAGCTGGGGGAGGGCGGGCAGTGGACTCGCTTTGACGGCACCTCCATGCCATGGGACGAGAGTGCTGTCACCTGTGACTCTGGCGCAAGGTGAGAAGTGGTGACGTGAGGTGAAGTGGGTGAGGAGCGGTTGGAAGAGGTGAGGTGCGGTGGGGTAATGTGAGGTGGAAGTGGCAGATGTGGTGCATGGAGTTGACTGGGGGAGGGCGGGCAGTGGACTCGCTTTGACGGCACCTCCATGCCATGGCACGAGACTGCTGTCACCTGTGACATTGGCGGCAAGGTGAGACGGGGCGAGGTGAAGTGCGGTGAGGCGCGGTGAGCCGAGTTAAGGCTGGGTATGGTGAGGTGGAAGTGGCAGATGTGGTGCGCGCAGTTGACAGGGGAAGGGCAGGCTGTGGGGTTCTTCCAATGGCACGTCCATGCTGTGGGACGGGAGCCTGTCACCTGTGACATTGAGGGCGAGGTGGGATGTGGGAAAGGTGAAAGGTTCTGCCACATCCAGAACACATCCGTCCCTGCTCCAGAGGGGTGTGTTCTGCTCCTTCACCCTCCTCTTCCCTTAAAAACGCTTTTGCCCTTTGTCCTTTCCCTCCCTTCGTCCTCTCGGCTGGGCAACCCCAGCAGAGGCAGTGTGTTTGAGGGGGTATCCAATCCATATCAGCCACTCTCAACCGCTTGGGACTTTTCCCTGTCAACCTCCACCCATTTCCCCTCGGCAGGGCAACCCAGCAGTGGCAGTGTGTTTGAGGGGGTATCCAACATCGACCACTCTCAACCGTTCGTGCGCCGAGATCTCACAGCATGGCTGACGTGGCTCCAGGTGAGACATGTGGCATGGCTGACGTGGCTCCAGGTGAGATTTGTGGCATGGCTGACGTGCTCCAGGTCAGACTTGATGGCATGGCTTAGGTGCGTGGCTTCACCAATCTGTGCCTCTACTGTTTCCCTCTGCTCCCATGCCCCGTGCCCCATGCCATGCCCCATGCCCCATGCCATGCCCCATGCCCCATGCCATGCCCCGTGCCCCATGCCATGCCCCATGCCCTATGCCATGCCCCCATGCCATGCCCCGTGCCCCATGCCATGCCCCGTGCCCCATGCACCATGCCCTCCCATGTCCCATGCCTCATGCCCGCAGGCCGATGTGGGGTTCTCAGGGTTCCGCTTTGACTATGGCAAGGGGTACAGCGCGGCCTATGTGCGGGGGTATGTGCGGGGGGCACGCCTGCGCTTGTGTGTGGGCGAGTACTGGGACACCTGCAATTACATCGGCCCACAATACGACCTTGACTACGACCAGGGTGGGTGAGAGGGTGAGAGTGGGAGAGTGTGTGAGTGTGTAAGTGTGTGCGCGTGTGAGTGTGTGAGCATGTCCCAAGAATCGTCTCCTTTTGGCGATTGCGAGACTGGTAGTGTGGGCATGTCAGTGTGTGGCTGACGGGAGAACCTGCATTGGTGTTGGACCCATATAATATAATACCTTGACTACAACCGTTGTGGGCGAGAGGTTGAAGTGACAGTATTAGGGCATTCTTTGGAGATACCCTGTTGTAGGGTATACAAGTGAAAGCGTACCCAATGGTGATACTTTCAACAGTACGCATTCTTGAACCGTGCAACGCCTCCCCTGGATATCACCTTTTTCTAATATCACCTCCCTCAAACATCACCTTCCTGGATATCCCTTCCCCGGGTATTTACCTCCCCCCATGTTCACCTCCACCCGGCTGCTGTGCAGCCAGACTCGCATCGGGGGCGCATAGTGGAGTGGATTGAAGGGGCGGGCAGGCTGGCAGCAGCCTTCGACTTTACCACAAAAGCGGTTCTGCAGGTGATTGGTTGACGGGTTCTGCGGAGAGGAGGCGAGTTAGTGAGTGAGTGAGTGAGTGAATGAGTGAATGAGTGAGTGAGAGGGGGACATACCCTTGTACTGAGCAGGCTTGAGGGGGAACGTGAGTGCTCGCTAGCTGCATCCTCTCGGACTTCGCCACCCAGACCATTCTGCATGCCCCTGCCTCTCTCTCTCTGCACCTCTCATGCACGTGCCACTGCCCGTGCCCCTGCCTCTGCCTCTCTGCATGTGTCGTGATTCTGCCTCTCTGCATGTGTCGTGATTCTGCCTCTCTGCATGTGTCGTGATTCTGCCTCTCCCTGCGCCTCCCACCCCTCTGCAGGAGGCAGTGAAAAGGAAGGAGTGGTGGCGGCTGAAGGACAAGGAAGGCCGCCCGCCAGGCGTGATGGGTCTGCTGCCCTCTCATGCCGTCACATTTGTCGACAACCATGACACCGGCTCCACTCAGGTAAATGCAACTGATATCCAGGTGAATGTCACAGACATTCAGGAGAATCCAACGTATTGATGGTTCCAGCATGGTGTATCTGAAGTCCGTGCACGGTGCACTTGCTGATGGAGACTTGTCTTGGTTTGTTGAGTTGTAACGTTTCACCTCCTCTCCTCCTATCTATGATTTGTAACAGTCCCTCTTACCCTGTGTGTCCCTCTCGCCCTGTGTGTGTGCCTGTGACTGTGCCGTGCAGGCTCACTGGCCCTTCCCCTCTCATGCTGTCATCCAGGCAAGTCAACTGCCCTCTTCCCACGTTTTTTCTCTCATTCTCGTCCACACACACACACACACACACACACACACACACACACACACACACACACACACACACAGGCACACACACACAAACATTCGCCCTGTTCTTTTTTTTTTTTTTTACTTCCCAGGGAAGCCAGCTTCCCTGTTGACATGTTGCTGGTCTCTTCCAATTTGATCCCATTCTCTCGTTTCCTCCCCTAATGTCTCAACTATGGCCCCTTCAAGAGCACCATTCCTTTCTCAGCTATACATTGCACCTTTCTCCCCACTTCGCCCTCCACTCCCCACAGGGCTATGCCTACGTCCTCACACATCCGGGCATCCCATCAGTGTTTTATGACCATTTCTTTGACTGGGGCGTGGATCTCAAGATCCAAATTCAGCAGCTGGTGAGATTGAATAGGGTTGCTTCTGCATCGCCTTGTTGGAACTTTTGGGTGGATGTTGCCTGTTGTTCGTACATGCTGTGCATACTGTTACCTTAAGGTTTACTACGGCGAGCATTTACTTTTGCGCTGTTGCATCGATGGCAGATTGATGCTCGGCGAAGGGCAGGCATACATAGCCGTTCTTCCATCCGGATACTGGCAGCAGATGACAGCAGATATGCCGCCATCATCGGGGGGAATCTGTGTGTGAAGATTGGAGATGGAGAGTGGAGCCCTGATTGCAATGAAATAGAAGGGGCTTTGAAGTCAGGTGATTGTTGTCATGTGAGTGAGGGTGGAGGGATAGGGAGTGATAGAACAAGTGATTCCTGGTCGAGGAAGTGGAACTTGATTACATGTGGGGAGGGATATGCCGTATGGATCTGGAATAATAGTTTTAAGCATTAACGTCGGTTCCTTGTTTGAAGAATATCCATTTCAATGTTCTTAGCGGATCAACTAGAAGCGAGTCGCCTCGCTCCATCTTTCCGTCTGATTCGAGGCGTTTCCCGCCAAAACTCCCTCCCTCGCATGGAATTGGCCTTCAGGTTTATGAATCTCCCTGATCAGCTTTTCCGAGCTTTTCTGATCAGGTCGCTATCGCGATTCGTCCTTAGTTGTACGCTCAGGATTGGCAATTAGGCTGGTGATAGTTGCGACGTTGACCTCGGTCGCGACGCGCGTGCGAATATATTCGATAGCAATTGGCTCCTGAAATTCCTGCATGTTTTCCGCTGGTTGTCGAGGACGAAAGCTGCAGGTGATGAGTGTTCGATTAATCTGAGTTTCGGAGTGTTCTGTTCCGATTAATCTGAGTGTTAGTGAGCATACTATGATGGATATCAGAGCATTCTCGTCTTCTGTGCCCTGGAAGGTGCGTCATAGAGTCACCAACGTGCCTGAACAACTAAGGGAGGCCGGAACTTGTTAGACTAATAAGTCAGCTGACGACTAAGTTGAGGACCAAGAGGGACCGGAACTTGCCTGATCAGCCTCATTGTCAAGAAATTTAGGTTAATAGTTAGGCGCTACCCGATTGCAGTAGACCAGAAGTCCGCCTCTAAGCAGTCACTCTAAAACGGTTGAACTCAAATCGTAGCTAAGGGTGTCCTTGACTGACAAGGACTGGACTATTAACGAGGTAGCTATTAACTGTGTGCTAACTCTAGACCAGGGTTGCTGTGCCCGGCCATCGCTCATGGCTCTCGAAATTCGTAGAATCCGCGTCAGTATCCGTTGCACGTCGGTTAAGCTTCGTTATATCGGGATGGCGTGTTCTGTTTTCCTGCTGGCGCTCCTGGCCTCGGAACTTCGCCAGTCAGTGCATTCGAGAATCCCACAGGCGGCAGCTACGCGTTCAGCGATTTCCACACGGAACGAGGAGCCTCCAACGGCTATACTCCACGAGGTGTGTCGACTGAAACCTCTTGAAACTCATTCTCTGAGTGATTCGACTCAAAAGCTGGCATATTATAGAGTGGTGGAGGTTTCAGACCCACTAGCAGCAGGCGACGTATCTCGTAACACCTTCACAGCTCACCACACATTCATCTCTTTTCCCCACCCAACTTTCATCAGAGCTTCATCTGGGCGTCAACAGCGTGGAGGGTTCACACCCAGTAGCATCAGAGGACGGTGCCGTGCCCCCACCTTCACAGCACACCTTGCTTCCCTCCCCCTCCTCCACCCAACCCCTTTTCAGAGCTCCATCTGGGCGTGAACAGTGTGGATGTTTCAGACCCAGTACCATCAGTGGACGGCACTGCTTCCGTCTGCATCGCTCGCACGCGCCTCCCGGCTCGGCCACGCCTGAGGGGCGTGTCTCGTGGCTTCCACGTGCTCAGAGTCACGGCCACCATTCCTGCAGGGATCATGCCACGTGGCGCTTTTGCCAGCGGCCCCAAGTTTGAGTTCTGCGTGCACTGGTGAGCGAGTGAGGGTCAGCGGGGTGCGTGGCGAGCAGTGGACAGAAAGGGCGGTGGGCGGGCATGTGGGTGGGTCGTTTGTGCTAGGATCCCCTTTTCTCCGTGCTAATTGCGTCTCGTTCCCGATGCTCCCCTCCTCTGCATCACCCCAGGAATGCCTCGCAACCCCTGGGGGAGTGCCCAAGGGGGGCGTGGCGAGCAGTGGACAGAAAGGGGCGGTGGGTGGTGCTGCGGTCACCTTTCGAGGGCGCGTTCATTGATGTGAAACGAGAGGGCGGGGTCATTGGGGACCATGACGTCAGCATTAAAGTAGACGAAGGTGAGAGGGAGGAAGGTATCGAAACCGCCAATTCAACTCAACTCTCCGTCATCGTATGCCCCGCCACCGACTCCTCTTTTTTTTTTTTTTGGTTCCTATTCTCTAACGGCCTCACAGTTGTGTTGTAACTTCTTTTATTTAAGTTTCCTCACTTCCCTCTCCTCTCTGTGTTTAATCAGACTTGGAGCCTCACCGGGCGGTGTTCTTTGTCCTGGGGTTCCTGCTCATGCTGCTGGCGGGTCATCTGAGCTCTATGGTAGCGTTTTACTACGGAGGGGGCATGACGCTGGGCGTGCTTCTCGTGGTCATCGTCATTCTCTACCAGGTGTGTGCAGTGAATGATGATGTTCGCTTGTTCGGTTCCAGATGTCTCTCCCATACAAGTTTCTGTCTAAACCCCCCAATCGTTTGCCATCGCGAACTAATCATGCCACCACCCATGCCACCACCCATGCCATTCCCCATACCACCCACCCGTCCCTTCAGGTCATGCGGTTGCTTCCCCTGGGTCGCAAGAGCAGCCTTCAGATCCTCCTATATGGCTCCCTTGTACGTACGGGGTGGCAGGCATGCATGTTTGTTTGAGTGCACTCAAATAGTGGCTTGCTCCTTATGCTTGTACCTTTTCTTGCATGGCATGTGCACTGTCTACGGAATGAGTAAGAGGCTATGCATGTCTGAGTAACATAGGATTTTTTAGTCGACTCAACTCTTTAAGCATACGTCACAGGGGCCATCCAGACTGTTATGCATGCAGCCGTAGCACATGCACTTTTCAGATGCACCTTTGATGCACTTTTAGATGCACCTATGATGCACCTTTGATGCACTTTCGCACTTCTCCTCCCCACCATCCCAACCAGATGGGGTTCATAGGGGTGATCATAACGTACGTCACAGGGGCCGTCAAGACTGTCATGGAGCCTCTTGGTCTGGGTGATGACGTCATCTCTCCGGTAACCATGCCATCCCTCTTGTGATTACATCAATTCCCTTGTAATGATGCCACTTCTCCCCTGTGTATGATGTCAGATTCTTGGTAATCATTCTTCTCACTGCCCGTTTCTGTCCTGGTCAACCATGCCGTTTTCGTTTTTGTGATGCATGATAAGCCCAATCCGTTTCACCTTATGCTCTCTGCCATCCCTCTTTACATCATGTGTTTCCCCAACCATTCCTCAGGTGGTGGTGTTTTGTGCTTGTACTGGTGGTGCTTATAGGAGCAGCGCTGGGCTTCTGGGTGGTGCGGAAATTCATCCTCTCGCCCACAGGCGAGCTGGACCCCCCTACAGTGTCCTTCGTTAAGTGGGGGCTCCGAATAATTGCAGCTACTCTGCTTATAATGGTACGTTGCGAACCTTGGATAAATGCACTTTGCTCGTCATGGTACATGGCAAGATATGCAATATACTTGCTGTAGTACCTGTGGGGTTGGATAAGGCACCCACTGTAACCCACTGTCACCAACTGTCACCTACTGTCATCAACTGTCACCTACTGTCACCCACTGTCACCTACTGTCACCCACTGTCACCTACTGTCACCCACTGTCACCTACTGTCACCCACTGTCACCTACTGTCACCCACTGTCACCTACTGTCACCCACTGTCACCTACTGTCACCCACTGTCACCTACTGTCACCCATTGTCACCCACTGTCACCCACTGTCACCTACTCTCTCCTAGCAGTGGCAACGCTGCTATCATCTTATGTTATCGTTTCTGCACCCCTGTGCTCCTCCACACTCGTTCCACAGCCCCACCCTCCGTTCTCCAGTCTCATTCCTAAACCCCACCCTCCTACCCCCATTCCCTTCCCTCACCTTCTCCCGTTCCCCCTCTTCGTCCGACTCGCACCCCCGCAGAGTTCAGCGGATGCAATCATTGCCACGTCTCTCCTCCTCCTCTCTCTCTCCGCCACCCTCCTCCTGCACCTTCTCTCCCCACGCGCACTTCGCCCTCCTCTCCCCCACCTGCACCCCCTCTGCAACCCCCACCACCTCCTTCCTGGTCCGTGCTTGTGTTCGGAAAGGAGAGCAAGCAGCAGAGCAGGAAGGAGATATGGGGGGTGCGTTCTCTCCCCCCCAGCAATTCGGCACTCCCCCTCAGGGCCCGATGGGAGCAGTAGGGGAGGGCAGGGGTATGTGACCCCCTCGAGGGCGGTTGATGGGTCGCCTTATACGCGCATGGGGACGCCTTTCCAGGGGCCACCGGGTATGTCATTATGAGACGTCTCAAAATTGGGAAGTGTGGGGGAGGGCAGGGGTATGTGACACCCGCGAGGGGGGCTGATGGGTCGCCTTATACGCGCATGGAAACGCCTTTCCAGGGGCCACCGGGAACGTCCTGTGTGCGATTTGATGGGTCCCTCAGGGGCATGTGACACACGCGAGGGCGGTTGATGGGCCGCCCTATGTGCACATGGAGACGCCCTCCAGGGCCACCAGGTACGTCCTTTTTGTTCCCAATGTTGTGTGTGTCTCTTGGTCGAAACATAGGGAACAAAAAGGCCACCAGGTACGACCACCAGGTCCCTCTTCTCCCTGACTCCCTCTTCTCCCTGACTCCCTCTTCTCCCTGACTCCCTCTTCTCCTCTTCTCCCAGTTGACCCTCTTCCCTCTCACGCGCTTCCTCTTGCTCTTCTCTCCTCTCGTGTCCTCTCCTCTCCCTCCTCTCCCTTCCTCCCCACAGGCACACCTCGCACCCCCCCTCCCCTCCTCCCGTCTCGCCCGTGCGGTGTGCCCGTGCGGTATGCCCGTGCGGTGCGCCCGTGCGGTGCGCCCCTCTTCCTTTCACCGCACGCCCGTGCGGTGTGCCCCTCTTCCTTTCACCGCACGCCCCGCCGCCGCCACCTCACCCCGGCACAGGAAGCAGCCATCTCACACCAGTGCACCCACTCTGCCCTGCAGCCTGTCAAGACATAAAATCCTGGTTGATTCTCATCTGTTTGCTTTTCCCTGCTCCTTTCCCCTTCTCTCCTCTGGTGTCCTCCCCTCTCCTCACAGGCACACCTCGCACTTCCTCTACCCGCCTCCCCTCTCGCCCGCGCGGTTTGCCCCTCCTCATTCCACCGCACACCCCACCGCCGCCACCTCACCCCGGCACAGGCAGCAGCCATCTCCCATGAGTGCACCCACGCGGCCCTGCAGGAGCTGGCTTATTCCCCCGGGTTCGGGCAGTGGGTGTTGCATAACTTTGATAGGATAGCGATTACTCCGAGGATACTGAGGGAGGAGCGGGGTGAAGCAGAGATTGCTGCCACGGCTGAGATGGAGGAGGGGTTTGAGGAAGAGGAAGACAGGTAGGGTTTGTGGGGTGGGGGGTGAAAGGGTGCTTAGAGAAACGGTAGATGAGATGAACTTGTGCAGCCCTGCAAGAGCTGGCCTATTCTCCCAAGTTCGGGCAGTGGGTCTGCATAACTTCGACCGGATAGCCAGCCATCACTTCGAGGATTCTGAGGGAAGAGCGGGGTGAAGCAGAGATTGCTGCCACGGCTGAGATGGAGGAAGGGTTTGAGGAGGAGGAGGGGTAGGAGCACCGTGACCAGAGAATCTGATAAGCAGCTGGTTAGAACTGTGATAAGGATCTTGCTGGTAAGGAGCTGAGTTGTAGTGTGAGGAGGTAGTTATGAGCTGACCCATTGCAGGGTTGATTGGCAAGTCAGATGAGGTAATGTACGATGCAGACATGAGGACACGAGGGCACGAGTACATGAGGACACGAGGACATTACTGGGTTTGAAAAATGCCCTCGGGTTCCTGCATGAGCTAGCGCGCATCCGCTTCGGTTTGTGCCGGGTATTGGCAGTGAGTTGTGCTGGCATGTACCGGTAGGAAGCAGATGAGAGGTTCCTCAGCATCAGAGGAGGGATGAATTGAATTAATGAAAGGTGATCCATCACAAGGGAGGTGAAGCTAGTACAGTGGACATGACTTGGTTAATAAATCAATCCTGTTAGGTTAGCATTTCCACGTGCCAAAATGAGGGTCACACGTGATGCACACTACCACAATGTTTCCTGCTGTCTCATGCTAACCCAGTCTATCCTACTACCAGGTATATACTGTACCCTAGGGTTTTATATCCGGGTCAACCCACTAACCAACCAACATGTACCGTAAAACTCAACCCGCACTCTCTGTGTGTGTATGTAACTACAATCGTTCAAAATTCCAATTTCACTTTCACAATTACGAACATCCTTCATCCTGATCCCGCACCATAGCAAATCACATCCGTACCCCAAAACCAGACCCACAACCACCCAATCAACCACTTCCCTCAAACCCATCTCCACCGATCCCCACTCCTCACCCTTTCCCTCCTGCCGCGGGCCCAGCGCTCTCCTGCACCCAAATCCTGACCGTCCGATCTTGATCCAACCCTCCAGATGCGATCATATTCTCGCTAGGATGACAGGCCACAGTGAGAACAATATCAGTGTGGCCTGAAAGCTTCTGCACCACTGTACGCGCTTGTAGGTCCCACAGATACACGCTATTGTCCTCTGACCCACTCACTATGTATTTCCCGTTGGTTACCGAGAAGGTTGAAAAGATGCAGTATTTCTTGTTCACATGCCCTGTGTAGGTCTTTAGACACTTGCCTGTCGCATAATTCCACAAACGCTGGTTAATCGGAAGGGGGGAAAAAAAGGAAAAGGGGAAGCGGGAGAGGGGGAGCGGGAAGGGGTAGGGGAGGGAAGGTTGAGAAGATGCAGTATTTCTTGTTCACGTGGCCTGTGTAGGTCTTGAGACACTTGCCAGTTGCGTAGTTCCACAGACGCTGGCACAAGGAGAGCGGAAGGGAGAAGGAAAAAAGGGCGGAAGGAGGAAAGGAGTAAGGGGGAGGAAGGGGGAAGGATGGGGAGAGGTGGGGAGGATGGAGGCGGAGAGGAATATGTGCAGAGTTGGAAAACATGACTGGACAATGAAGGGGAAGGGGGGGGGAGAGGGATGGGCGAAAGAAGCGGACGGCGGATGGGGTATGGGGGGACGAAGCGAAAGAGGGGGGGGGGACGGCGCGAAGTCTCACCAGAGTGTTATCGAGTGTGCCGGCGAGAATGAACTTTCCGTTGGGCGAGAATTTCACGAACGACACGGGAGGGTTGTCGTCGTCAATTAGGGTTTTCAGGCAGTGCCCCGTCTGCGTGTCCCAGATACGACAAAGCCCGTCGTACGAGCTCGACACCACCAGCGACCCGTCGCGGTTGAAATGAACCGCCGTTACAGGGTCCGAGTGGGCAGGCAAAACTTTCACGCACTTGCCCGTTTTCACGTCCCACAGCCGAACCGTCTCGTCAAACGCGCCGGAAACTATGAGGTTGGATTGCGGGTTGAAGTTACAACAAAAAACGTAGTTAGTATGCCCCTTTAGGATCTGCACGCACGGTCGCGTGGTCGGAGCGGCTCCGCTATTAGCATCCCCGCTAGAAGCCGCCTGCCCTCCCGTAACGTCCCATATGCGAAGCGTATGATCGTCCGACGCGGAACAGATGTAACGTGAATCGGAAGACCATGCGATGTCGCTTATTCCCTCCGTATGCGCCACGAGCGGCGGGTCTGACGGCCGGCCGTCAGCTGCGTGCCAGATCCTGACGGTTTTGTCGGCCGATGAGCTGGCTAACCATTTTCCGTCCGGCGAAAACTTGACGCTGGAAATAGCTTTCTTGTGGCCGTTAAGCGTGTATTTAAGAACATATGGGACGTAGCCCTTAGGCGGCACTACTTGGACAGCTGCGGGAGCAGATGTAGCTGCGGTACCGGTGGTCGCAGCGCCTTCTGCGGCGGGTTTTGCGGGAGCAGCTGCAGCGGCGGCCGTCGATCCTGACGGAGGGTTAGTGGGTTGAGAAGCAGGATTCCCTTGATTTCCGGGAGCCGACGTGTCCATAGGAACAGCCTCGGCTTTCGTCTCTGGTTGCTCCATAAGGTCTACAAGATCGAGGGGTAACGCGCTGCGACTACAGCAGAAGCAAGACGAGACTATGGGTGATAGCGCCTCGCCAAATAGCCGAGGAACAACCGAGGAGGAGCCGAGGCGCAAATTGCGAAGCTCGGCAAAACTAAATATTTCCTGTCGATGTCTGGGTGTTTTTGTGAGGCGGCAGTGGAACCCCCAGACCATAAACCCGTGAAATGTGCCTCAGAAAGACTCGGTTGGGGCTGGGTGGGAGATGCATTGAACAATCAGGGCGAAGGGTTTTACCAGGGTCTGACAGGGTATAGCGAGGTTTAGCGTTTTGCAACGAGCAGATCGGATCAGCATTGACGATGTCAGAGCCTGGAGACCGAGATTCGCCCGTTTGGGTAACGATTTGTGCTACAAAAGACAAGCGGAAACATTATCCATACATATTTATAGCATTACGACTGGCGAAATGCACTACCTGGGTGACCGGACCGCACCATAGCGATTTCAACTGTCCACGTCACATGACTTCCTGCTTGCGTCATTAGGGACCAGTGCATGTGATGGAGCCATTCGTCGTGGTGTAATTGACCTTTCCCTTGTTACCGACTGTTTGTCAGACTTGGAACAAGTCGAAGGCGCTACGAGACTCGCTTTGCTAAGCAACACGAAATTGCGCCACAAGGGTGGTGGTGGTCTGGCCGCAGGTGGCGTCAGACAGACTCATGAGCGCTTCGGCAACCAGCCGCATCTCAAGCAGAGCAAGCGGCCTTCGCGGTCCACCTGCCCTTACCAAGGAAAAAGTTTTCGCTCCGTGGCCGCGCATTATTGCACCCACAGTTTTCCCCACCCTCAATAATTTGCGCGGTCGCGAATATTTATGACCCTCACCCACATCCAGCACACCGAAGGCTTCAATCGAAGCCGTCCGTTCCTGCGAAACGCGCCGAAACGCGTCTCTCGTGTTTGTCCATCCACCGCCCCCTCTGCTCTCCACATCCGCCTCGGCTCCTCCCTTTCCCCGACTCCCTCTCTCCACAGCTGAATTTTCTTCCCAAACCAAACCAAAACTAAGGGCGTGTTAAATCGCTACACAATTCCGAAAATAGGGTGCGGCCGAATTTTCGACGACCAAATGGTCGTCATATTTTTCGCGAACAGCGACGAGGTGGCCGAATCAGAGTCGACTCTTTAACAGCCAAAATTTACAGTTTTGGCAATACTTTGGTGGCCGGATTGCAGGCTGGTTCGGAAAAGTTGTTAAATTTGCAGTTACTACAGTAGTTTAGTATGTGCGACGGGGTCGCACTTTTGACGGCGATATTCCTCATTTAACCCTAAACAAATTCTGTCACTGGGCGATACCGTGCGACGTCACAGGCGTTTGTCGCACACTGTGTCGAATACTTGGCCGTTTTGGAGTCGACTCGGCGTCGTTTTCGTGTCGACTTTTTAAAGCCGGCGGCCCAAATTGTTCATGCTTTTATAAGTTGACCAGAGGGAGTTTTTCTGGTGTGGGGCTTTGACGAGAGTTTCCGATTTCGTCTAGGTTCGTTTTTTTTCGCGAGACCCAGCCAACCCTCGGTTTTCCCCCTGGTGAGTGAATCTGTCTTCGAAAGTCCCAAATTGCAAGTGCGTGACTTTCAAAAGCTTGGACACTCAACTTCGTCAAGTTTTAAACACTTGACCCTCGCGGCCCGCAATTTGGGACGCGGGTCTTAAACAGCCATCAAATTCGTAAAAATTTAACGAAATTTGCGACGGTCACCACCTGACTTACGACTGTCGCAAGCTGGTTACCTTCGCAGATACGGCCCGACGGTTTGTGGCCGAAGTTTGGAGTTTGAGATTTAGCACGCCCTAACAAGCTCCTCTTCTTCACGCAATCCAGAACTCCACTGTTCCCATTGCACACACTCCCCTCCATTGTTCTACACGTTTGCTATGCGTCATTTGCGTGTTGGAGAGGATTCCTTCCTATTGCTTTCCTTTGCTTGCTGGGCACACATCACATCCAATAATTGACCCAACTTGAGAGTCACGAACACTGCTTCCTGAGAGTCGCTAACTTGTTGACAGCACAAAAAGCAACATACATACCACTGCCTGTTTTGAAATTCGCTAGACTTGCCTCTCTAGATTTCGACGGAGCTGTATATTTCTTCCAGATTCCTCCTTAAAAACTTCTTCTTCCCTCCGCGCCGTGAAAAACGCTAGCATCGTTTTCTTGGTCGTTCTCGTCTTCCTTTATAGTCAGATTCTCGATCCGCGCTCCTGAAGCCCAGCAAGAGGTTAGATACGATGGGCTTATCAGCCAGTCCGTACGCCACCGAGCTTCACGCCGCCGTCCTTTCCGGTCGAATCCTCGCCGTCCGTAGATTCATCGACCGCGGCGCGC